TATTGCCAAATATTTAAAATTTTATTAAAATATATATTTTTTGAATTTAATGGTCCAAACATGTTTAAAACTAATCTGATGTACGCGTGACGCAGTCTAAAAACCAACGCCCATCGTAGAGCCCTGAATGAATATCTATTCACTTCTTAATTGATTAAAATCTAATCGATTTGTCGTTTTTCTTAAGAGACGTCTTTCCATCTCTTTTTGTGTCTGAAAAAGTAAATTTGATTTTTCTCTCTAATTATCTGAACATCAAATTAATTTAAATTAATAGTTTTGATAACATTAGAGACATCACTCTTTGAGCACTGGTTTTGTTGTACTTTTCATTTTCAGTCCTCTTGTGATATATACGAGAGTTGATACGAAAAACCAAAAAAGTCATTGACTTTCGAGCAGAAAATGTATACGAAAATAATGAATGAGTATTTGAATAATTAAGTATTGAAAGTGTTTTTTAATAATTGATAATTAGCTCGATATCACGATTAAAAACTGTACTGTTATTGATTTCAATTACAGTATAAACATTGAGGGGATAATTATGTAATGAATTTGAATTTTTGTTTCATCAAGACTTTGAATGTCGAGAGCTATGCATAAGAAATAACGCAAAAACTCTTTTCTGATAACAAAACTCATTAATTAATTTAATATTCAGTTTATCACAAGAATAACAACAAAAATATTGAATAAATAAATACACAATTTCTCAAAATAATTACATACATTGGACATGTCTTAAAGGGTCTGTGCTTTTAAAACACAGGTAATACTAACATAAAAGTAATTATATTAAAATACATTTTGCTTTATATTAATTTTTTGCCGAAAAAAGGCTTATTAATAGTAAAATGAAAAAACGCGTTTTCGATCATATTTTTGGTTTTTCATCAAAAATATAAAACCAATCAGAAAATCATCAATTTATTTCGGGGGTTTATATCGTATCAAACAGTACTGTATACCAGTGCACACACAGTAGAAAGGGGAATGGGATCAGGAAAATGCGAGAGAATGAAGCGATTAATCATTTGGCAAATTATAGCATAAGTTTTATTATATACACTTTTTGTATAATTTTCGGTTTTACAGGTCATTTATTTTCTTATATCAAAATGAATGCCTTATTTGAGAGTGTTTTTGGAAATACTATATGAAAAAAGTCGTTCCGAAGCCAATCACTGATAGCATGACTGTTAAGATATTACAAACTTAAGGGCACCGGTATGATAGTAATGGTAATGCCTGTCTGGGTAATAGCGTTGATCCCATAATAGTCTTAATAGAGTAATGCATTTATAACTCTTTCATAAGAATTATTACATAATTATTATATCATAAAAATTGTTAGCCATTAAAGATCGAGAAAAATACTAATCTTTCACTTATTATACACCATTGAATTGAATGATAAAATTCTCTCTCATTTGCTATTTTAATTAAATTTGTGTTCAAATGATTGTGTGAATTAATCTCGAAAGCGCATGGAGTCTGAAAAGGCTTTTCACTCAATTATAATAGGAATAAATTTGATTATATTTTTTGATTAAAAAGACTTACAATAAATTTGAAATCATATGTTATGTGAACAAAAATTTAATAAATATATGAATGATTGACAGCAGAAACAGCATTGAGAAAAATTTAGAGAGAGAGAGAGAGAGAGAGAGAGAGAGGGAGAGAGAGACTAGGAACTCAATTATCATATTTGAATGTAGTCTACAATAAAAGCTCAATTTTAAACACAATAATCATATATGAAATGATTATTGCTATTAATGTTCACACAGTTTAGCAAATCAATCACAAAACCACTGAAAATCACTGCTCACAAAACAACAACAGTCTGTCCGGCGACCCGACCCCACAAAAACACAATCAAAGAACAAAAGCTTAAAAAATCTCACAAAAAGATTAATTAATAATGAGACGAAAAAAGCATAAGACATACCATTATTCATAGACTTGTTGGTGGAGTGGTGTGTATAATGATTGCCATTCATGGAGTTATTATTATTGTTATTACTGGTGTGATAACTATTGGTGTTATTTGTTTGACCGAATTGTTTATAGAGATTGCCATTGGTTTTGGTCAAAGGGATCAAATGCGAGGGCTTTATGTGCAGAAACGACGGCGTGTATATGGATGGCGAGGAGGGCGAGGACAGCTGGTCCCGGTCGTCGCCGCTCATGCCCTCCCTGCCCATCGCCGCCAACTGTCGCCCTTTTGGCAGAAACATGATTAGGAAGACGAGAGTGGCGTTGCCCACCACTCCCAGCGCCAGAAACGCGTCCCTGTAATGGCTGGAACTGGTCAACGATCCGCCGATCCATACGCACCACAACACTATGGACGTGATGATGGTGATGGCGATGAACATGGCCTCCCCGTGGTTCTCCCGGTGCCCCTTAGCTCGCAGCGATAGGCACGACACCAGTCCTAGTAATGCGTTAGGAATTTATATTTATAGACAATGTGTGCATTATATTCACTATAAAATTATATGCTATGTATATTGTATTGTATTTTAATATTATATTTTTATATTATAATTATTTCATATTTAAAAAATAGTTTTCAACCAAGAATTAAGTGTTTTGTTTGTTTTAATGATAACTATTAATATTCTTTACAAATTAAATGCAAAAAAAGAAAGAATTCTTGAAAAATAAAATTATAGAAATATATTATTTGTTAATATTCTTATAATGAATGAACTGTTAACTAGATATGATATTTTGGCCTTTTATTTGACAATAAATGACTTTTCGTGACTGCGCTGCTAATACAGCACTATTTATATAAATACAATACAGTTCAGTATATTTTATAATAAAGAGTTTTACTTTTTTAGTGTCATTAGAGAGAGAATAGACTTTTTGATTCAATTAATTATATGAGTTTATTGCAGGAGTGGTGCCCAATCCCTTTAAAGTCTATTATTTTTTTGTTTTTTCACTTTTTTATTAGTGCCTTAAATTAGAAATAAGTCTATTGTCGAGAAATATTGATCACAAGTTTTATATTTGCATTTTATAAACCAATTTCTGCCAAACAATTACAGCATGAATGACAATAAAAGTCATTTAGAAATTCAATTAAAAATGTCTTTTTGTATTCAGAAAAATCTGTTTCAAATATAAAGGTTATTCTGAATCCTTGATGCATTTATTTCAGTATAAAGTATTTTTCGAGATTCTTCTAACTTATATTATATTATACTGTATTATATATATCATAAAATAAACTAAATGTCTAATTTCAATGAGTTATCAAATTAGAAAACTCTGTCTAATTTTTAATATAAATATTATTAAACTGAACACAATTCCTACGGAATTCCATGGGAATAGCAGTTATGATAATAATAATGAGCGAAATATAATATATTATTTGTGTTTGAAAGCAAACAAAAGCAAACATAAAAGTGAGAGAATTGTGTGATATATAAGTCCTAAATAAATGGTGTGTACTATAAGTGTGAAGTAATGTAAGGGGAAAGACATACCGATGAGAAATATGTCGTACACTAAAGACAAGAGGAGTGAACTAATATTGTGATCACATTTGTAGATAACGGCGCCGAAGGCGTCCACGTAATCGATAACAGTGGTGGACGTGTGATGGAGGAGCCACTGGCCGTCAATGGCTATCTGCGTGGCTATAATGAAGAATAATAGGAGGGCCTGGTATGAGGCGGGCAGGTATATGCCGGAGTGCAGGGACAGCAGGAACACCGTCTTAACGAGTAATGTGGCGAATATGAGACTGTAACAGATGCCCAGCCCGGCCCGGATGATCGTACAGGAGATCCAACTCGGGTTTGGCACAAACGCTATGCCCAGCGCTGATGATAGGAAGAGACCCAACAGAAGCATTTGGCCCAGAAATAGGTGCCGACGCGATGGGGAAGTCCTATCCAACCATAGCAAACACATTAGATAAGAAAGGGATCAGTAATTAGATAATCGGATTGAACGCTAGTATAGTATGATTGGGGAAATAGGTTTGAAAATCGAAATCAATTATTCATTTGAAAGTATTTTTCAGCGAAAAGTTTTTATAGTATTTTTTTATCTCATGTTTTTGTATCAAAACATTTCGAAAATAGTATTACATTTTCCACCCGTATATTGAATTATTAATGCATTTATATTTTGATATTTTTTACTAATATTTCTTCATTGCGTTCACCGGAAAAAAAGTTTGTTTTTATCGCCTTTTTATATCTTAACATCTATTGAACAGAATATTCTATACGTTTATATCTGCCATAGATTTTGTTTATTCAGGAATTTATTTTTATATATGTTTAACACAAAAAAAAACTTTTTCTCTAGTCTATTATTGGCGAGGAGTTATTGCACCGGTAGATACACACAGACAACATGTACACAATATATAAAACCCTTAACCGATCCCTACTCTTACGATAACTGTTTGTTTAATTATTCATTCAATGATCAAATGCTTTTTCCTCCGCTTTTTTCACTTTAATCTGATTTTGTTGTGTTTTTGTTGTTTTCCTAGCATTTCATTCACTAAATATTCAGTATATTTAAGAATAATTCTCACTACTTTACATATTGTATAATATAATGAACACCCGCTACACAAAACAAAAACACATTAAACTCACTTATGATTAGCTAGTATATTAGGTAATAATTATTGTGGCAATTAAAATATAATTTTTTAAACGATATATCAAGCTATAATATTAAGAGAATTATATTGTATGTTAAATATTGTACAGTATAAATAATGTTTTGCTGCTATCATTGAATTTATATTTTGAATTCAAACTATAGATCAAAGTAACATTATGTAAACATTTTAAAAACTTTATGATATAATGAACTCACATATCGTGTAATGTATGGCAAAGGATTACAATAAAAGAGGAGTTTCTTAATGAGTGATTTCTCTCATAAAAACTCTTAACACAATCGCTATTATAAGACAATAATAAATGAAAAATAAAAGTTTTCAAAATATTTTCTTTTTAGCCACTCGCTCGATTTAAAACAAAGTTTCTACTAATACAACAAAATATTTTAGAGGTTAAAAATCTTATGGGGGTTCCCCTCATAGTAGATGCGATTATAATGCTCCATAAGTTTTTTATCATCAAAATTGTTATTAGTATTTACAACATACAGTATGATTATTGCTATTATAGATAGAGATATGCGTTATATGAAAATCTAAAATTAATTACTATTTGATATCATGGGAGAGTTTAAAACAATGATTTTTCTCAAACTACTCTCTACTGAGACTGAGATTTTTAAAAAGGTTTAGGAAACAAAACAAAACAAATACTAATCAAAAGGTTATATACAAACAGTTAACTCTCGGCTCTCTATGATACAGGAAATAATATTTAACAGTACACACAGTGTATGGAAAACCCCTGCCATTGTGTTTATACCTTATCTAATAAGTGGTAAATGAGTGTAAAAAATCATCACTTTTTCTGTATCTC